GTTACATCATGTGCGTAGTAAATGGGAAGATAGAGTCTTCAGCCGTGTAATATATATGTTCACCCTTTTTTTGAGAATGGAAAACATGTTTTTAAATAGTATATGTCATCTTTTTAGTCTAAATTCAGAACATTTCCCCAAGACATGTATGAGTTTACTCACTTAAACAGGCTTCTTTATAAAAACATGTCAATATTTATTAACTTTTGAAGTTAAATACTCTGCATGCTATGAACCAGTTTTACTTATTTTTTAAAAATGAAGTCCTGCTAGTTGACTTCTAAATGAAATGGAAACTTCCCATTCCATTCATGAGCAATGGGATATATGTACTTGGAGCTCAGGAAGAGGATTGGGCTGGGAGTATCCACTTGCCAGGGATCTGTTTTTGGTGACAATGGAAGCCATAGGCATGAATTGAGTCTGTCATGAGAAAATCTGGAGTTGTAAGAGGAGAAGAAAGCCTACGTTAAGCCCTGTAAAGTCTGGATTCTTATTGAGTGGAGGAATTGAATCTACAAACCATATTGGGAAGCCTCTGCCTGAGAGGCAGAAGGAGCATAAGGAAAATTTTGTATTATGGAAGCCAAGGGCTAAGTACGTTCCAAGAGGAAGAGAAGAGTCAACACTTTTAAATACTTCTGATAAGTCAGGCATGAAATGAACTCAACATACCTGTTGAATTGCAAATCAAGAGTCTTCGCTGATCTTGGGGAACCTGCTTTTATGGGGCAACTAATGTGGAAAAGACAGTGGCTTGAGTTCAACTCTTCTGGTGAAGGGAAGCAAAGGAGAGCTCACGTGTTGATATTTCTGAGGAATGAGAAATTCAGGTGGAAGTTAGAGAGTGAGACTGTTTTGGTGGGACAGACTTTCATGTGTTACAAGCCAATGAGAAAGAAGCATGTGAGCAGGACAGATTCATTAAAAAGAAAGATTAGTAATAAAATAGCTATGATAACAGCTACTAACATCTTTTGGCTACAGAATACACTATGGTAAATTTTGACATATGTTTCACAGTTAATTCTTAGCATAATTTTATGCAGTGGGTATTATTATTTTTCCCAGGTTAGAGAAGTGGAAGGGAGATAAGACAGACCTATAGATGTCAGATGGCTTGCTCAGCAATTCCAGCTACCAAATGTAGGACTAACTTCTAACTTAGGGATTAAGCCTTGCCACCACTCCCAATTTGAATCGAACCCTGCATTTGAAACCCACTGACAGAGTCTTCAAATTATATTTTAGAAGGGTCACATTGAAACACCCCGTCTGAATATTCTAGTTCACTTTTATGTCTTTAATTGCCAGAGGATATGTTTACTCACCAGAGAGAGACAGAGAAAGGGGGGGAGAGAGAGCACCTCCCAGTGGGATGTGGTCATGCTACAGTCTCTTCCCTTCTATTTCTCCATACTGTTGGGATTTGGGGTACACATGTACATGTACCTGGTGTATTTTTCAAGCCACCGGGTTGGGATTAGAACTATGGCAGGCACATGGGATCCAGCTCTTTTAACCATAGAACCAGCCCTGAAAATTCTCTTTATAATAGCCCTACTCTGACAGTAATTTTTTCAAATGGCATGGTTTAATAAGAAAAAAAGAAGCCATATATATATATATATATATATATATAAATCTGCTTCACTTCAACGAACTATTGTATATCCTATATTTATCTACATATCTTTATGTATTCCAATGCAAATAATTGTGTTGGTAACTTCAAATCTACACAATAAAATTTACTTAGAAGACAAACCGAAAACATGCCTTACCTGCAGAAAAAACAACCTCGTGAATGCATGTAAAACATCATGCTATTGAGGGAACCAGCAGTTAGCTTAATGGCTATGTCGCTGGACTCCCACGTAGTCGACTGCGGTTCACGTCCCGGACCCGGTGGCTTAAAACTCACGCCGGGCGCGTGTGCATGTGTGCCCAAGATCCTGAGAGGAGAATGGAGGAGAAGGGATTGGGGCGTGACCATCCCCCCTGGGGGGGGATTTCTCGCTTTCTGTCTCTATGTCTCTCTCTGTCTGTCTGGCGAGCACATGCACCCTAGAGCGAAAATCTCTCCCAAAAACAACAACAACAACAACAAAAACTCATCATGCTATTGAATTTAGACTATGGGGACTGAAGGCAATTTGCCCAAAGAATTTTCAAAGTAAGTGACTGAGACAGACATTAAGGCTAAGAGAGGACTTCCTTACATTTGAAGATGGTAAATGAAAAAGAAAAAGGAAGGCAGGTGGTGGTAGCAACACAGTAAGGCCAATGAAGTGATGTGAAAACATCCTACAGTTTCCCCGTAGATTGTGTCTGGCTAAGCTTCCTGAAATAATAATTCTGTCCTCTTGCTTTTCATAGGACATAACGACTACATGTGTCCAGCTACCAACCAGTGCACAATTGATAAAAACAGGAGGAAGAGCTGCCAGGCCTGCCGGCTCCGCAAATGCTATGAAGTGGGGATGATGAAAGGTGGTAGGTACACCTGCCCAGGTGCCCCATGAATGGCTACCTCCCAGGGCTGGCTAGTTCTCTTGAATGACAGCCATAGGAATTTCATGTTTTCTCGTTTACTTAACTTTTATTTTTTCTTTGCAACACAAGTATTTTACTAATGCATTTTGTTTTAAGCAAAAAATTAGAAGCTGCTGGAACTGGAAATCCTAACATGCCATTCGCTGTTTTAGATTTTCAATGTAAATAATTATGTTTTAAACCAAAGATGTGTGGGAGGTGGAAGGAAACCAAGACTGTTCAGTGAAGTGTTCTAGTACTATTCTTCAGTTACTTTTTACATAGTCAATGCTAGAAAATGGTATCTGAGGATAAACTCTCCTACATTGAGACTCGGAAATATGAAAGCTAAATATCTTATTTAGTGCCTTTCAATCTCTCTTTTAAATTTTTATTTATTATTGTTATTTTTAAAATTTGCTCTGAGGCAGATGTGCTCACCAGAGAGATGCAGAGAGAAAAAGAGTGAGAAAACACTGTGAGACCTCGGACTCAGACTATGGTCAGCTAGGTGGGAGTCCAGTGCCTTAACCACCACATCACTTGAGGGGCCCCGCCCTTTGATCTCTTATCATCCCTAGGGGTATTTAATTTCAATCAAAAAGCATCTTAACCTTTAGAAGCTGAATCAACCAGCAACTTTTAAAACTTCAGTGCCAGCATTGTGCTGGGGACAGGTAAATGACCATCGAGTGCTAACAACTCCAGAAGCACTAGGGATTTGTGCCTGTGGGTTTGTTTCCTTGTGTATGTGAGTGTGTGCTTGTTTTTCCCTCTTCTTATCAGGTGTCTAGCCTTCTGAGTTGCTTATATAGGAATCCGAAGTCCAGTTCTAGAGGTATTAGGTGCTTCAGATTTCTCCAGATTTTTGGGAGTCTCATCTTGAGAAACATTGCTTCCTGTCTTGGATAGGCTTCAAAACACATTGGGAGAGAACAAATAGGAAATGTGTGCTTCAAATTCAGTGTTTCAGGATGATAGCATGGAGGGGGCGGCGAGGGGCCATGGAGGGGGCGGCGAGGGGCCATAGTTGTGCTGCTTACTGGTCCATAACAGGAAAAAGCTCGGGGCGAGACATGGAGTGAGTTAAGAACAGAATTGCCATGGGAGGAAAAAAAAAGAGGTTTTGCAAATAGAGGGCAACTAACCTTTTACTGGTGAATATTTGAATGAAGGTGAAAGGAGAGAAAAAACTCAAGAATGAGGACCAGGATCAAGGCATGCTTGATTGTTATGAAGCTTACAGTGAAAGATTCTTTAGTTTTGTGGTCATAAATAAGCCTACCAGGTGAATGTAGCATTTAGAATAAATTGTCTTCATGAACAGATGAAATGTTGAATTTACGCATTATGTGAGCTGTGACTATATGTCTTTAAAGTCTGAAAAAAGCAGCTTTAATTCAAAGGGTAATTAATTCCAAGAATTTAACAGCCACATTCAGAAAATGACACTTTGAGTCATAAATGGATTAAATATTTAAGGAATTGACTCTTCTTTGTACTGTTGGAAAATTAGTCAGGCTTAATTAAACTCACAAAAAGCTTCTTAAGGTAACTTGATAAGTGACAAGAATTTAACAGCTACATGACAAAAGTTTAATTGAAATAGTGAAACCCAAGCTTAATATTCTTTTTTGGTGATTGTAGGTAGGTTAAATACAGGCTTTTACATTCTCCCTGAAAGCTGAAATAATCAACTTGTAAATATGTCCAGAGCATTTTTTAACTTGATATTCATAAATTGACCCCACTTCATATAAACATTTTTTTTCCTAGTTAATCTCCAGACACAGGCTAGCTGCATAAATATAAATTATGCACACTCATTTTTAATCTAACAAAATCCTAATATGCGAAGACCTAATAAGAGTCTCTTCACTGTTTTCAAATAGGAATAGGGATAATTTGATTGCATATGGTAAACCTGAACATGCATGCACTTGAACATGTATATTTATGAGGGTAAAATATCTATCTGTATGAGTTTTCTAGGGTTAGTATAGTGTAATGACATAGAATGGGTGGCTTAAATAACAGTAATTAATTTTCTCACGAATTTGCAACAGGAAGTACAATTATAACCAACTGTAAAATTTGCAGTTGTAAAGAACAGCTGTGACTGAATACATCTTAACAACATTTTCCAACTGGTTTCACAACAATCCAGTTTCTCAACCAGGCTAGTTTCCAATTAAGATATTGAACCTCTACACATGAAATAGAAAGTTTAGTTTTAGATAGACATGAACCACATAGCTACCCCCCCCCCCATCAAAGCTGGATAAATTTACCAGAGATCCATTCTAAAGATCCAAGATAGGACATGATTTATCTACATGAAGAAATAATTTTCATCTGTTGTAATGCCAATTACCACCCCTTAGATTTGTTCTGAGCCATGCTAGGGAGTCAGTAAGATGCAGGATTTCAGATGTGCTTTCCCATCTTAGTACATGTGTTGGTCTCTCTACTAGGTTGGTTGTTTCTCTACACCTACCTCCTTTCCTTTCACCATTAGATTGCAGATGGAATGTCTTTTCTTCAGGGAGGCCTTCCCTGCTTCCTCATGCTAGGTAAGGCTCCTGTGTTCTAGCTTTTATACAAACAGCACGTCTCCAAGCTCTTATCACTATTATTGTTAGTTATCCTCTCTCCATAACCTTAATGATGGCAGAGGTTCTCTCTGTCCCGTTTACTCATCCAGCACTAAACAAGTCACAAAGTAGGTGTTCAAGAAAAAGGTTTGCACGAATTAATGAATTGACTCAACTTATTAAAATAGTTATTTACTTAGGGCTTCCTATGTGCAAGCTAGTAGGGATAAAACAAGCATGACTAATACCCTACGTCCCTTCATCCGTGTCCTCACAATACAAAGAGGACTTCTGCCTAGGAAGTGACCAATGAATACTCAAAGACAAGCTGAGGTTGAGTTGGAAGATGGCTCAAATAATGAAAGATCAGCTTTATCCAACCATTCAGTCCTTGGTTTAGTCCATCCTAGAATAGCAGTCAGACCATCTGGCTCCCATGGTATATACTATTACCTAGGACTTTGACATTCCAGCTTAGTTTTATGGAAAGAGGGAGACTTGAGAAGACTTTTGGAAGTGAAACTTGGATCAAATTCTGACTCCTCAGACTTGATGAGCAACCTGCTTGAAGTCACATTTATGAGTTTCCCTGTCCTGTTATACAAAAAGGAGATAATAATTTCTACTTAAATTTGTTATGAAGATCACAAAAGATCACAAATCATAACCTGTGGAAATACTTTATAAATATAAAGTATTATATAAGTTTTATCTTTTGTCACAAAAAATTATTCCAATCTTAGGTGAAAACTAAGAGAGCTACGGTTTTTTTTTCCAGTTGAAAGAAAGTGTTAATTTCATCACCTCTAGTAGGTATAAGTATTATGTGGAATATAAAAACCTGACTCAGACACCTATGTGTGTGTATTTTTTTTTTTTTTTTGGTCTCATATACTGGATGTAGCTGCATGCTAGGTAAGATTTATTGTTCATTATTTTGTGATGCTAGAGATTTACAAAATTTTTTCTATTTCTCACAATAGACTCAGGGACACATTAGTGGATCGGCTTTCATTTTGCAGATGAGGAAAGTGGCACACAGAAGTTAATTAATATGCAAGACTCTTGCACTGCCCTTCTTGTTTGTATTTCCTTGTAATACATTAACAAAAGTATGAAGCAAATGAAGCAAAGTACTTTTATATTGAATTACAATGCTACAATTTAATTTTTAGAAATATTTTCAAATAATAAAAACTTAATTTTATTGAAATGAGAAAACAGCATACTAATAATATAAATGGGAAAAAATGTATGTATGTGTCTAGAATAACTCAGAAGCCCAATAAAGAATTAGAAAATAAAGTATTTTCTTGTTGCTTACATGTAATATTTATTGTCATGAGTTACTATAATTTGCTTATTTTTTGGAGAGGTTTTTGCTATAGGGCATGTGCACTCACCAGACAGACAGAGAGAGACAGAGAGAAAGAAAGCGAGAAATCACCCCGCACCCCCCGCAGGGGTCATGGCCATGTCGCAATCCCTTCTCCTTCGTTCTCCTCTTGGGATCTTGGGCACGCACGCACACGTGCCTGGTGTGAGTTTTAAGCCACTGGGTCTGGGGCTTGAACCGTGGTCGACTACTTGGGAGTTCAGCGACATAGCCATTACGCTAACTGCTGGTCCCTACAATTTGCTTTTTGATGGGATGGACTCTCAGCCCAAGGATTGGGATTGGAATTTTCTTTAATTCTACATTGGCTATCTTTTACCAAAAGTAAGCAATTTATTAATATTAAGTTATTAATGTTATATTATTAAATTAAATTATTAAATTAAAAATATAATTTAAAATATGAATATGAATTATTTCTTGGTCTTGCTCGATAATTACAGAAAAATTATAGCTGAATGTGAATCCATGCTTTTTCAGAAAAAAAAAAAAAGCACCTGGATTTAGAAGCCATGTTTAGGATTTGATTTAAGAAAATGCTAAAAAAAGTAGATGCTTTTTACCAAACAGATTCTGGTTGTTTTAAGCAGCAACCTATGCATTTGTGATATTAAAATATATTTGACTAATTCATATTGTACATATTAAATTTATCCTATACTTTCCCTTTATAATTTTTTGTTTAAGACAGAGATTTTTTGCTATAGGGCACATGTGTTTGCTGGACAGACAAAGAGAGACAGAGAAACAGAAAGTGAGATATCACACCCCAGAGGGATGGGCACACTACAATCCCTTCTCCTCCATTCTCCTCTCAGGATTTCGAGCATGTATTCACATGTGCCTGGCATGAGTTATAAGCTACCGGGTTCAGGACTCAAACCATGGTTGACTACAGGGGAGTCCAGTGACCATTATGCCATCTGCTGGTCCCTCCTCATATAATTTTTATTTGCAAACAAAGAAATATTCTGAGTTAAGTAATTTAATTATATAAAAAATCTTAACAATGAATGAATCCAGTATTTTACAACATTTTAAAGCAACTAAACTCTGTCCACAAGCAGAAACAGTTTCTCAGTCTTTAAAACAGATAACTTATATGACATATCTCTTTACTCAATATGGTGTTCTTGAGAAATGTTCTTAGAACTCCAGAGCTCTAAGGAACATGGTTTGTGAACCACTGATCTAATCTTACCCCTCATCTTCTATATAAGAAAACTAAGCCCTAGAAAGATTAAATGACTTGGTCAAAGGTTTTGAAACCCTAGCAGCAGAATTGAGCCTGGCATCGTAGAATCCAGATTCAGAGTTCTTGCTCTTTTCCAGCTATCTCTTCTATGCTGTTCGATGCTATCATTCACCTTTAACATAGAAACTAATTGATTACAGATGTGGGCGGCATAGCATTAAGTTAATGCACACAAACTTACAAATATATCTCAGAGAAAAGAAGTCCAGAGTGAAATAAGCTGTCTTACTCCAGTCTTCCAGATGCCAGGAGGACATCAAGACTTCAGTGATCAGTTGACCAGGGAAGGTGAAAGAGCCAGCCTTTATAATCGGTTGTAGCTGGCTGATGGGTAGCTTTCCATTTCTGCTTTAGTAGTGCTGGCAGCAGTAGTAGTGGCAAGGGATGTGGAATGTGTTAGGACAAAGTCTGTTTGTAGAGTTTGAAGCAAAAAGTGAGTAATGATTACATTGAGGTCAGGAAATGTGATCAGTAGGAAAAAAACAAGACAAAAGGTTCGGAGACATGAAATTCCAAGGAAAAAGGAAATTTAGATGCCCCTTAGTTTAGCATGGTTGAAAACAATAAGAAGACTAATAGATTTTTCTCTCTAATATTTGGTAAAATTGAAAGAGTTGTTCCAATATTACCCTTCAGTGCCTAATTGTGAGGGCAGGTCAGCTTCTGTGACTCTTGGTTCATTTGGCAGGCAACAAATGGCTCTTGGAAGAACTGTGCTACCTTCAAATGTCTTAATGTCAATTGAGCAACTTTCTTTCAGGCGTTACAGAGAGCATGATTGGATTAACTCATTTCAAAGATTGATGCCCTACTAATCACTCTACTCAAACTGCTCATTTCAAGAACACCCATGGCCTGCATGTGGTTGAATCCCATGGTCAATTCTCAGTCCTAATCTTCTTGTCAAGTTACAGCATTTGACACAGTGGGACAATTCTCTCTTCCTCAATGTACTTCTTTTTCTTGGCTCCCAGGACAACACCATCTCTTTGTTTTCCTCCTACCTGCTTGGTCACTCCTCTGAGTCATTCTTGTGTATTTCTGCCTTTTGCCCTTGACCTCTCAATATTGGAGTAGCCCAGAGTTTAGTACAGGGACCTCTTATCCTCTCTATTGTACTCACTCCTTGGTGATGCCATATATGCCAAAGAGTCTTCAAGTGATACTTCCAGCCCAAACCTTCACCTGAGCCACTGACTTGCATGTGTACCTGCTTAAGTGTCTTCTTCATTTGAATGTCTGAATAATTAAACCATCTCAAACTCAGGTTGTTCAAACGTGAATCTGTGATCTTCTTTAGCCCCATGTGTGCTCTCACATGTCAGGCCCTTCTGTCTTCCCTCTTCTTGGAATGCCACTGCACAAACCCTGCTGTGCAGCCACCTCCTTTACTCCTCTCAAGTTCATTGCTCCATACCACTTTATCTATGAGACCTGACCATTGTTTTCAGTAATTCAGTTTGCTTCTCCCCACCTTCCACTGTTCTCTCAGTTCCCTTTTGCCCCCATCCTGTTCTGTTTCTTTTTTTTTTCTGTTCTGTTTCTTTATTTTACTATAGAATTTCTGCTTTCTAATATGTTGTAATTAATTTAAAGTTATGTTTGCTGTTTTATGGCTGGCTGTCTAACAAGAATGCTGGTTCCAGAGAAAGAGAGCTCGCAAAGAAATAAAACATGTTGATATTTTTTGTCCACTGGCATATTTCAAACACTTCAATAAGTGCTTGAATGTAAAAGGCAGAAAAATAAAGAGTTGTAGCAGTCTTGAGTTAATGTTGGGTCATTGGAAAAGTCATGACACATTTTTGCATAGAAAAACAGAAAAATGCTATGACTTTTCCAGCGACCCAATAGAATGGGTGAATAAAATTGCAAGTACAATTGTACGTCTATGAACAGACTGAGAATGAAAATACCTGTTCTTCTAATTAGGGGAGAATTTCTGCTTGGAAGTTAAAACTTGTGTAGTAGTTAGCTTTTACTGCATAACTGAATCTCAGAATTGTAATGGACACTAGAAGCAAAGTGGAAAGAGAGTGTGGGAGGGGAACAGTGTAGGAAAGGAAATTTTGGGGGAAACTGGAGAGAAAAGACACTTGTGGAACACAGATAAGGTTTTTTTATCTGTTGATGAGAATGTGTATAAAAGTCTCAACTGGGCTGGACTTAAGTGTATATCATGCTGAGTAAAGTCTCTGCACAATCTAAATGATGTATAGTGATTTAATGTATGAATAATCATTTTAAAAATTACTTTACAAAATTCAATGGCATACAGCAGTAAGGATCTAGTAGTCGCATGTTATGGCGATCCTTCAGGAGTCTTCACAGATTTTGGCTGGGTTCACTCATGTCTGGAGGTTAGGTGGTTGTTTGGCTAGAGCAACTGGGAAAACTGTTTTGCATCATGTGTCTCCCATCCTTCAGCAGGCTAGTCCAGGCATGTACTCATAAGGCAGAGGAACAAAAACAAGGGCAAGCCATAATCATAAGCCCATTTCAAGCCTTTGCTTGCATCAGCTGGGGATACCCAGTTGACCAAAGCAAGTTAAATGATGGAGTGCAAAAGCAGAGTGATAAGTGTCAGAGTTACATTGCAAAGGTTGAAAAACTGGGAGTATTTCTGTAATCTATCTCAGTCAAAAATATGACATTTTAAATTTTAAATTATAAATACTGAGTCATAGAATCTTAAATTTGGAGGAGACTTGAGGATTTACCTACTTTTGTTTTCTGCTCAGTATAGGAATCCCCTATGTAGCATCTCTGGTATCTTGTGTTAAGTGTAGAATATGAAAGTACATGTTTTCATGCCTCTTTTCTAGATATGATGAGTGGACATAATAAGCCAGAAAAATCTGGGAGTAGATGTGAGCCAATGTCTCTGGAAAAATATGGGATCATTTCAGATATGCTAGATTTCACTAATTTATTTGTATGTGGGCTTAGTGTATGTGTGTGTGCTATGATTGGTTAATCAATGGAGATTGAAAAACAATTATATATAAGTCTATTTTAACATTTCAACGACATCTCCCTGCATATATAAAATTAACCAAAGAACATTGACAATCATTGAGCTATTTTGATGTGGTAGTTAGAATATTGATTCAAATTTTAAAAAATCTATTAAATTTAAAATATTTACAATAAATTGTATGTATTTATGGCATATAACATGATGTTTTGAATATTATATCCTTGACCAACATCTAACACCTACTTACCCCTACTGGTCTCTACCATTCTAATTCTGATTCTGTAAGTTCAATTTCTTTAGATTTCACATTTAAGCAAGATCATATGGTATTTGTCTTCCTGTTTCCGATTACTTCACTAAAGCTAATGTCCTCCATGTCAGTCACATTGTCTCAAATGACAAGATCTCCTTCTTTTTCATGGCTGAATAGATTTTACTCTGTACATATATCATACTTTCCCTATTCATCCTTGAGCTGATAGACTCTTAGGTGGATTCCATATTGTGTTTATTGTGAATAATTATGCAATGGAAATGACAGTGCATATATCTCTTTGATGTACTTATCTAATTTTTTTGGATGTATATATACACAGTAGTGGGATTATTGGATTACAGGTAGTTCTAGAATGTTTATACCTAGAAATTTATTAATTTCTTATAGATAATCCAACTTGTTGGTATATAATTCTTTCCAATAGTCTTTTATGAACCTTTGTATTATGATACTTTATATTTTTGTGTTATCAGTTTTAATGGATTCTCTTTCATTTCATTCTTTTTTTTTTTTTTTTTTTGAGAGGTTTTGGTTATAGGGTGCATGTGCTTGCCAGAAAGACAGAGAGAGACAGAGAGACAGAAAGCAAGAAATCATCCCCCCAGGGGATGGCCACACTGCAATCCCTTCTCCTCCATTCTCCTCTCTGGATCTTGGGCACACACGCACACACACCTGGCGTGAGTTTAAGCCACCGAATCCAGAACTTGGATCACGGTGGATGACATGGGAGTCCAGCAACATAGCCATCACATGAACTGCTCGTCCCTCATTTCTGATTATATTTATTTGACTGGTCTTTGTTTCTTAATTAGCTAATGGTTTGTCAATTTTGTTCTCTTTTCAAAAAACTAATTCTTAGCTTGGTTGATATTTTTAAGGCCTTTTAAGCCTCTGTTGCATTTATTTCTGCTTGGATCTTCATGATTTATTTCTGATAAATTTGGAGCTAAGTTTGTTCTTTTTCTAGTTCCTTGAAGTGTAATGTTAGGTTGTTTATTTGAGATCTTTTTGGATGTTGGTATTTGCTAATATAAACTTTTTAAACACTCATTTGCTGCATCTGATAAATTTTGGTATATTTTGTGTTTATTTTAATTTCATTTATGTGAGGGTAATTAAAAAAATTTCCTTTTCATTTCTTCTTTGATTCAGTCATTGTTTAAAACCATATTTTGGGACCAGCAGTTGGTGTAATGGCTGTGTTGCTGGACTCCCACGTAGCTGACTGTGGTTCGAGTCCCAACCCGGCGGCTTAAACTCATGCCAGGTGCGTGTGCGTGCGTGCCCAAGATCCTGAGAGGAGAATGGAGGAGGAGGAATTGTGGTGTTGCCATCCCCCTGGGGGGTGATTTCTTGCTTTCTGTCTCTCTTTTACTCTCTGTCTTTCTGGTGAGCGCATGCCCTATAGTGAAAACCTCTTAACAAATATATTGTTTTATTTCCATATACTTTTTCTGTTATTGATTTCAAGTTCCATGCTACTGTGGTTGGAAAAGATTTTTGATATGATTTGAATCTTCTTGAATTTATTTTGACTTATTGGTGACCTAATACATCTATACTAGAGAATATTCTGTGTGCACTTGGGAAGAATGTCTATTCTGCTATTGTTGGATGGGATATTCTGTATATGTCTGTTTGGTCCTGTTGTTTTGTAAAGTGTGGTTTATGTCTGTGCTTTCCTAATTGATTTTTTGTCTAGGTGACCTTCCAATTGCTGGAAGTGCATTATTGAAGTCCCCTATTGCTATTGTTTGTTATTGTATTACAGTCTGTCTTTCCCTTTAGTTCTTTTAATATTTATTGTATGTGTTTAGGTGCCCCAGTGTTGAGTATATATGTATTTATGACTGCTATATTCTTTTGATGACTTGACCTTTGTATTATATAATACTATCTTTGTCTCATTTCTCAGTTTTTTACTTAAAGTATATTTTATTCGATATAAGTATAGTTACCCCTGCTCTCTTTTGGTTCTATTCACATAGTGATTTTTTTCCATCCCTTCACTTACAGTCTATGAGTGTCCTTAAAGGGCTAGCATATATGTGCAATTTTTTTAGTTGGGTATTTTTTTTATCCATT